ACTACGAAGGTTAACGATACCAACAACATTAATGCTAAGACGAAAGACAGTCATTTCTATCATCGCGAGGGAGAGGGGGAAAGAAAGTCCAGGAAAAGGGGTATATAGAGTGAAAATGAGCAAGAGAGGGAAATGCAGATAAAGAGAGATAAAGCAAGAGAACGACTGGCGAGAGGCGCACCCACAAGTTCACGGACAGCCGAGGAAAGGTCCCAACGGCTCCTATTAATGTTTAAAGCATATATTAAGCAAGCGCTCCATCCGGGTGAGAGAAGACACCAAGCCTCCTCATTTCTAATTCATACAGCCTTCAAAACAATGTGAATTTTGCTACAAATCTACAACCCACGAAGTCAAATCTGAATAATCTTTGATAAATCTACAGAACTGAATTCTTAAACCTTTTTTTTTTGGACATTCTCATTTGAATAAATCATTTTTTTTAGGTTTCTCATTGGAGACAGGAGTGTGTCAGTGAATCTGCTATTTTAAATGTGATAAACGTATGCACACATATGCACACGATTAAGAGCATAATAACTACAATTACTGTTGATGGATATCAGTATGTTTAAGAACACTTTAAATGGGTTTGAATGTGTTATTCCCTGCAATCGTAAAATTAAGTTTGGTTTTATTGTAAATGTATTCCTCCTGTCTTCTTAAGGACCTTAGGAAACAGACTTTCATGTCTACGAATACATTTTAAGGGTAGAGTACTCTATAGTAAGCTGTCGATGGCAGCAACTATGCGGTGGTTTTTAGATTTTGTATTTACTGTAGGCCTTTTATTTAACAGACAAAATAACAGTACTACTAAAGTAGCTCCTACAAAATCCGTGTGTCTTTATGAAAACACACACATACAATCCACCCATCCACACCCACATCCACCCACCCACACACACACACATAGGGATATATATATATATATATATATATATATATATATATATATATATATATATATATATATATATATATATATGGATACACATATACATGTACACATATGTGTGTGTGTGTGTATATATATATATATATATATATATATATATATATATATATATATATATATATATATATATGTAAATATAATGTGTATATATATATATATATATATATATGTAAATATATAATATATATATATATATATATATATATATATATATATATATATATATATATATATATATATGTATGTATGTATGTATATGTATATGTAAATATAATATATATATATATATATATATATATATATATATATATATATATATATATATATATACATATCTATACACACATGTATATATGTGCTTGTATATATATATATATATATATATATATATATATATATATATATATATGTATATATATAAATATATATATATATGTATATATATTTATAAATATATATATATACATGTTTGTGTGTGTGTGTGTGTTCGTGCAACATCCACCTTGGGTACGTAATGATACCCTTGCAAGATAACGCACGAGATCTCACTCTATAAACGCCGTTCAAAAAAATGTTTAAAAGCTGTAAACCCAAGTAAACACCAACGCAACAAAAGAAAGAAAAAAACGAAAGAAATGAAAAAAAAACACACCAAAAGCATAAAAGACCACGATTCCTCTCCCTTCCCCCCCCCCCCCTTTGGCACAAGGAACATCCACCAGCACCGTAAGCTCGCTCCAGACCTCCCCGTCCATCGAGCGAGATCATATAACCGGGCATATAACCCAGCCGAGGATATACCGGGCCAGAACCGGGATACGCGAGGAGGCGATGGGGAGACTAAAAGGACCGCGAGCTTAAACTCTTTCGGCCTCGTCTTACCCACACCCGTCACACAGGCACCAGATCTGGACCCGACAACGAAGGGAGGGAGAAGGAGGCGAGGGGGGGGGGAGAAGGGAAGGGAGGAAGGGAGGGAGGGAGGGAGGGAGGAGGAGGAGGAGGAGAAAAGGTGAATGTGGAGGTGGGACAGGAGGAGGAAGAGGAGGAAACGGAGGAGGAGGAAGGTGGATGTGGAGGAGGAGCAGGAGCAGGAGGAGGAGGAGGAGGAGGATAATGATAATGATAATGATGATGATGAGGAGGAGATGGATGATGAAGATGATAATGATGATGATGATGATGATGATGATGATGATGAGTAGGAGGAGGAGAAGGGGGAGGAGAAGGAGAAGGAGAAGGAGAAGAAGGAGCAGGAGCAGGAGGAAGGAGGAGGAGGAGGAGCAGCAGACGGAGCAGGAGCAGGAGGAAGAAGGAGGAGGAGGAGGAGGAGGAGGAGGCAGCAAGCAAAGAAAACCGTGACGGGTAAGGGATGTCAAGTTTGTCCCTGTCCTGAGAAGGAGAACATTTCCTGTGGCTCGCAGATAACGCCGACAAATACCTGGAATTAGTGCCTGTTCAGGTGTAAACGGGTCAGGTTCATGTAGGGTCGTCGTACAAGTGATGGTATCGGAAACGCCATGTTTGGTAATCTCGCTGGGCACGCTGCTCGCTCGCTCCCATATCCTGGCCCTGGATCTAACTTTCTACTGAAATCTAGATCTGTCCAGGCGCTCTCAGAGGAGATTTATAGAAAATGGAAAATAAAATACTGCTCGTTATATGTTATTGAAATAGGCAGTAGCTTTTTTCTATATT